GGGGTGGGAGAGGGAGGGGGAGGAGGGGCTTATTATAGGGGGTGGGGGGAGCAGCTGGTTAAAAAGGGAGGAAATGGGGAGCGAGTGGTGGAGCGGCAAGAGGAGGGAATAAAACTCGGCGCAGTCAGGGAGGGAGCGCTTTGACTGTCCGCGCCGCCGCCCCTCGTCTTTTGCGTGGCGGCATTAGAATTTGTAACGCCCGCTTTTCCATCCGGACCCTCGGGATCCGCGAAATTGCGCAAACCCAGGGGCGGTTACAAACTTTGTGTCTCCGTTCCTTCTGGGTCACGCGTTGGGCATGATGTTTGTGTGCACTACAAATGCATAAAACCCACTCAACGAAAATGCATAAACCACAAAAGCAGCACATCAGGCAAATGAATTTTGGTATTTTTTCGTCTTCTCTGGGTCGCACATACAAATGGCACGTCGATGGTAGCGGCGGCTAGAGTTTCGTGGCACCGTAGAAACAACATAGCTCTACCCACACGTGCAATCGAGAAGTCACCGAACCCTGCCATGGAACATCGATGACGTCGATCCGAAAGGACCAAAGGCCCAGAGAAGAGGATGATGCTGGATTAGATGACGAAGGTCGCCGCAAAACTCTAGGGGTTTATTCTTTGAGAGAGTACGTCAATGACGTACCATGAGTTTATAGAAGAGAGCGCAAAAGATGTACAAAAAACTTACGATCGTTGGAACAACGTGTATGTACACACACTAAAAAAGAAACAAAACTAACTACTCACTAGATAGTCAACATACACCGCTCCAGCTCCCCTCAAGAGGTTACTCGTCTAAAATGTGATCAGCTAGTGCTTGGCCAGATTTCTGTTTGTCCCTATTATGGAATGGAACACCAGAGCATTCCGTTGTTCCCATAGGTTCCAAGCAATAAGAGTGATCACGGTGTCGATTTCCAAGCCACCATTCCTCTAGAGCAGGGCTGGGCCCACGGTGGTGCAAAATGTGCGCCCCACACAGGGCCCCAATTTTTTGATATTGGCCTAGTAATACTTAAGTTCTACTGGGCCGCTGGGCGCTGGAGTTGGCTGGAGTCGAGGCGACGAGGCCATTGAGCGAGAGCGACAAGCGTTGAAATGGAATTGCGATCGTTCTTGTGGGCTCCTCCTCCTACTAGATCGCTACATTACCTCAAAACAAAAGACTCGATCGCTACGGGGATCAGGATCGTGGCTACGCTACAGGAAAGGAACGTCTCGATTGCTCGAGCCCTCGACGCGTCGTCCCACGATATGACTTGTTTATATGTCCAATTGTTATGTAAGACATTATATTATATACATTACAATTTTTCTGTGAGATATATATACATTATAATTGCTCGTTAGTTCATTTTTTTGTGAGATAGGGCCCCATTTTTTAGTTTCGCACAGGGCTCCGGATTTTGCCGGCCCGACCCTGCTCTAGAGAATGTTGCTGATTAGGAATTTGAACAGTGACTCCTAGTTACCAGAAGCACCTATACAAAGTCTCAGGAGAAGCCACACAATACATAAGGATGTGATCCATTATATCTTCATTTTGGAGGAAGGTAAAGCATGCAGAAGTTTGTGCTGGGGGACCATGTTGAGTCCTTCTATCCGAGGTTTAAAAGGCGGTAGAGGAATGCTAGTCATGCGAAGATCTTGTACATGAGAGGTGCCCAACACTTCCAAATGCATGAAGCTCACACACATCTAGTATCTAATTGGCATAATAGTTTATAAACCGAGTTTGCGGGGTAGTGCCCAGAGTCCATCTCCAAATAAGGCTTGATAGTGATGGCGCTAATGATAGTCCGAAGCTACGATATATCGAAAAGTTTAAGGGTGGAGAAGCTACTAGATATATATCGTCATCTTCTTTCTAGCCATGGTTATCGAATGCAACCTTCATTGTCCTTTTACCGGTAATGCTTGTGCAGATTTTCAAGGAAATGAGAGGCACAAGATCCTTACAGTGTAGCCATTTATTCATCTATCCCTCGAGAACAAGGTCCTACCTCCATCTCCCATAGAAATCATGACAAGGTTGTTAAAAACATGATCCACTATATCATCATTTAGGAGTTGGGGTTTGACACCTACTCCGCAAGCTAGTTGGCTTGCAAACCGAAGCCCAGGCAACAAGGCATTGACCTCCATTAATTTGCTCTGACCCCGCCTAGAAGAAATCTCGTAACCACCTGTTAATTTCCTCGAACACTTAGATCGGAAGCTTCAATGACCATTAGATGGTGGATTGGTCTTGACAAGCACCAATCTGTCGGTCCAAGCAATGAGCCCTTGCCGCCAAATTGGGAGGAAATCCTTGATTGAATCTAGCATGGGTTGCCATTGATAGTTGGTCAGATAATTCAAGCTCAGTTATAGGCCCAAGTAATGACAAGGCAATGAATCGATCTTGCAGCCCAAAACCTCGGTCATGTGCATAGTGTCAGCCTCCTCTCCTTTGATAAGAAGTGACAAGGATTTGCCGTAGTTAACCTGAAGGCCTGAGGACTTGCTAAATATATCTAGTGCAGAATTGACAAAAGTGATATCCTAGAGCGCCAGTCTAGTGAAGCACATCATCGGCAAATATGGATAGGCGCTGAATGGGGTTAATCCTAGGCAATGTTTGCAGGACCTCCTCATTGTCTGCTTCCATAATCAATGCAGTCAGAATGTCCATGTCTATGACAAAAAGGAGCGGTGAAATTGGGTCTCCTTGTCTCAATCTCCGAGCATGCATAAATTTCCTCCTCGTAACTCCATTTACCACCACTTTCGAGCAAGCAGGTGCTGAGGGGGCGTCCCCCGCACCCCCGCCCAATGCAAATCACTTAAGAATTTTTTTCTGAGGACATATTCTCATTTGGCCCCTCC